CCCTTTTTTTTTTTTTTTTTTTTTTTTTTAACCTACCGTATTTTACACATCGGTTTGAGCATTGTCTTTCCAGTTAGGAACAAATATAATAGTTTTTTAGTTTACTATAGAAATATCGGAGTACTACTTTATTAAGAGTTTTCCTAATCAGATATAAACAAACAATGTTATACTAAAATAGAATTGCTACTTTTTTACCTGGCTAATTTCAGATAGCATAGACAGCCATCATATTTTTGCAAAGGAAGATTACTGAGTTTATGATTAAATGTACTGCAACTACAGTATCACTCACTATCTTTGTTTTTAAAAGCTTCCCTTATCAAATACGGAGAGAATTGGGGTTATGACATAAAATCAATAAAGATTAGATTGGTCTGTATTAAAAGTTGCATTGAAAATGTAGCAAGTAGAAATTTCAGTCTTTATTGCACTGACAATATATGTTTGGGACACTTACCTACAAAAGAATTTTTTGTAGTCATTGTGACTCTTTACCCACTGCAGTTCTATTTCATTTGATGCAGTGGAACATGTTTCATATTCTTATGGTACAGTTCTGAGTAACTGTTAAATGATTTGCTTTATTAGTATTTGTATTCAGGAGTACAAATTAAGCAAATATGTAGAGCATATCTGCACCATTAATCATTAGTTTCACCTATTTGTGCAAAAGAGAAGGAAATAGAACAGACTGTATATGTGATCATGCTGCTTGTTCACAGTAGGCCAGGATAAGTCAGGTACCTTGGTTTATATATGAATGTTTTAGGCATGCAGAATTAGCCTATTGTACAACATGCAATTAATCATTTTCAGCAGCTGTTAATGGCTAATTATTTTTCTGGGCTGGATATTTAATTTGGGCTTCCCTAGTAAACCAGTGTATTTGTAAGTTATTCATAGAAATTACAGCTAGCAACTCCATATTAAATGGATCACAAACATTTGTATAGTATAAAGGTATGTTAGCTGAGAATTCAACAATGGGCAGTTCAACAATTTTCCACTGCTAGTGCTTACTGTGGTTATGATCTGTCAATGTGCCAAGAATGTAGGAGAACTGTGTTCTTCCCAGAGAGCTCCAGGCAGTCACACTTAAATTATTGCCTCATATTTTGTTGGCTTAAGTCAATTGTTTACAATGATGATGTCTGCAGGACAGAGGGTTCATTTTCTAAATTGGCATTCTTGAAGGGGTCAGTTAAATTATAGATGGGTATAAATTGAAATAATAACAACCACAAAACCCTTTGTAGGATCTCACTCTGTTACCTGCTTCTCTTCTTTAATTCATAAAGGCAGAATGAGTTTAATAGAGTAGAAATGAGGAGAGATCACTTGTGAAGAAAGCAAAGTAATATTTAACTATCATCTCTGATATAATGACACTGTCTTTTATACCTAAAATCCTCAGACACATTCACTCAAGTCTGGATGTGCAGAAACAATTTATTGGCTGGTTTGTACAGCATGTTCAGCCATAATTCACTTTAACATAGGTCATTGAATAAACTACAGTTGGCTAAGATTACACAACAATTATCCTAATAAACCACAATGGTGGGATTTGCATGAACTAGTACAATCCACAGCTTGCCTTAGGACATTATGTCATTGAGTTTTAGGAGGAATTCTACTACGGAGTAAGCCCACGGATGCAAAATGACAATGGACATAAAACTGGGATTTGTGTGTGTGTGTGTGTATGTGTGCACGTGTGTATAGGCATGCATAACAGCAGGAATCACTTGAAGAGAACCACTGTTTTTATGGTAGAATAACAAATGAAGTCCAAATTTGCTCAGGAGAGCCATGTGCCAATTAGGAGCCAAAGTGGATTCCACTTGCACAAGAAAAAACTGCACATACCATTCTAATCTCACACCATCTACTCTCTCATACTCTACTTTCTCATATCTTAATTGCACATAATCATTAATGATCCTTAATCCTCACCTTTAACTGAACCAGATCTCCCCAAGTCATTGTTCTCTTCCAGTGCTGATATTGTCAGTTTATAATGTCCAAGGCAGTGTTTTTGTTAGTCTACCCCAAAGGAATGTTTTGTCTCTTTACCTTTAGAGTGGAGGAAACAGGAATGAAAGAAAGGTAATTATTGTAAAGACAAGGATAAGATGTTTGTGCCTTGAGCAGAAGAAACAATAAGGGCAGTGTATCTCCATGTCATGTTGTTTTCCACATCACTTGTATAGGAATAGGACTAAGGCTGAAAGGATGGGTCAGTTGCCACATTGCTAAGGGGTATATAAGAAGACTCCCTATAAAATCCATCTTGGGCCAGGAGAATCTTGCTTCCTGGAAATATTTTTTTTAATATTAATAGTTTTTAACAGCTTTTAATTGGTTTCTAATTATTGAATTTTGGGATTGTTAGTTTGTTTTAATTGTGTATGCTTCCCAGAGTCACATGCAAGCGGCTACATACATTCAGTAAATTATTTATTTATTTAATTAAAGATGCTGTATTATAAAAAGGCAATAGAAGCTAAAATAAAAAAGACTTTAGAGAATAGTCAAAGAAAATGACCCCATGCAGGAAGAAACCCCAGGCGTGGTGGCATGAAATCCTCCAGGGTATGATCAATTAAAATTAGCAATAAAACTAAGTATTCTTGAAGATCCCATATTTGGAAAAGACTCACGAAGGAGTGTGATAGCAAATTTTAATGGAAAAGATTTCAGAGTCATGTCATCCCCATTAAAAAGTGTTAACACTTCTTGAAAAGACATGTGGGTAAAGATCTTTCATAATTTTCAACACTGCTGTAGCAAACCCTTAAAATCTAGCATACAAAGCAGCCAACAGTGGAATGTTGGCTAAATCATAATTGTTGTCTGCAAGCGGGGGGGGGGGTAGCAAGAGGGTCAGGCTGACGAAAGGAGCATTGTGGCGTTGTGATGCAAGCCCTGCCCCTTTTCTATGTTTGCTGTGATGTAGCATACACAGCCCAAAGAGGTAAAATGTGTGGCAGAACGTCATTTTGACAAAAGCAGCAGTATCTTGCTGACACTTGTTGACAGAGTATACTCATAAACTGCAGAATATTTTTTGCATTGTTTGCTATGTGAACTCAGACTTAAGAAATGCCAAGAAGATGCTACACAAAAATTATGGACAGTTTCTTTCAATATCTCTGAACTATTAAGCTTTTAAATCATGAAAAATTTGTATTTAAGTCTCATATCATTCATTTTCTAACACATACAAGGCCAAATATACAGTATAGTGGCGGCCCGTTTATCCTCACAAAAAACCCTGGGAGGCAGTTTAGATAAAGAATGGGCCCAAGATCACCCACTGAGCTGATGTGAGTCAAGCTCCCCCCAGTTTTTGTTCTGCACTCTAATACAGCAAGACTAGTTTAAATCACTGGTAAGGTCTCTCTTCCATCTATTAAGCTGAATACTTAATGATCAAAGCCAACAGGGAAATGAAACAGATACACATTCAATGCAGATAACTTTCTGGTGAACAATACATGTACTGCAGTGCAGGTGAAGCAAAAGATTATTTAAAATCACATGGGAAAGGCTTGAGCATTGGAGCAGCGCATTTGCTTACATTAGTCGTAGGCAGAGAAAAGGGCTGTAGAAATCCTTTGAAAGAGGTGCTCATTGTCGGTGGAATATTGTGCTATTGTACTTTTTTGGTTACGAAGCAGCTATGGGATATAAGAGGCTGTCTAGCCTTTCATTATCCAGG